CAGGAAGAAGGGTCTAGGCCCGAAACGTCAGCCTTCCTGCTCCTCTGATGCTGCTTGGCCTGCTGTGTTCATCCAGCTCTATACCTTGTATCTCAGATTCTCCAGCATCTGCAGTTCCTACTATCTCTGGAGAGATGAGGTGATGTTTTTGATGCAGTGAGTCATGAGGATCTGGAATGCAATGCCTGAAAGAACAGTGGAAGAAGATTTCAATAATAAACTTCAAAAGGAGAACTATTTGAAAGGAAAAAGAATTGCAGGGCTATGAGGAAGAGTCAAGTGGGTATGGGGCTAATTGAATAGCTCTTTGATAGAGTTGCCTTTGATGCTGTAGGAGTTGTTTTTTTTTTTCAAAAATCTGGTGACACTTAAGTTAAAAGTACAAAATATTGTCCTGATTTAGCAGGTTACCAGTATTGTATCTGTGTTGTTCTTGTGTTGTTTAGGTTCTCAACCGAACTATGCAGATTGTTCCATTACATGGGCCAAGTTTTCCAAGGTTAGTGACTTGAGCTGTACCTATAATATCTACCTCTAACCTGTACAAACCTAAACTAGGCAACACTAGTTCTCCAAAGTCCACCTTAATTTAAAGCTGGGTAAACTTTGCTGCTTCTTATCTTCCTTTCTCAACCTCTGTCCAAGATTCCCTGGCTGTGCACCATTACAATCCAAAGCTTTGTCGCAATGCTTCAATTAATGCTTTTGGCGGATCAAACTGTAAACATTTTTGTACAGTATTTGCTTCCCCAGAGTCTATATTAATACTGGGATGTCCTCAAGTTAAGTTATTCAGTAAAGCACTACTGATAAGTGTTCTATATGGCAAAGTTTAATTTTCCTATTTGGTGTTTTCTTCCTTTATTTCCCCCCTCCCCCACCAAAAAAAAACTGCAAATATAAATGATCGGTTAACTACAGCTTGGATAATGCTGCTGTTCAATTTACAATTTGGCGGCTAGGCAATCCTATATCAAAACTGAGCATAGATTTAGGAGGCGTTAGTAAAATTGGGGTGTAGGGACTAATTGAAAGAGCCACCAGAGAGCTTGCGCAGGCATTATTGGCTAAGTGGCCTCTTCCTGGAATGTAAGATTCTGTGGATCTATTTTATATGCCAGTCCTTTTATTACTTGTAGATTCTGGCAAGCTAATTTAAGGTAATTTTAATCATTTCTATTTATTTTGGATCTCTTTAATACAGGAGAATTTACCAGATCAGAGCTTTTCCTTCTGGCTCTGGCTGCAAGGCATCCTAGAGCTCATTAAGAAATACCTGGAGGATATCTGGAATGACGGGTAAGATGATTGCAGTTCACTGCATGTTGTATTCTCTCACTTTGATTAAATGGGCTAATTTAATTTTCCTCTTTATACTCAGAGGCATTTTTGAAAACAAGTGTCTGTGCGGGGTGGGGGGAGATTTGGTGGTCAGTTGGGCCTTCCGCTGCCATTGTCTCTGAAATAACTCCATGAAAGCCAGTATCCTGTCACCAAGGCACCTTTTATTTACATGTGCATAGTACGTGACACCGACCCCGCTAGCTCTCAGCCGGCTCCTAAAGTGAGCAGAATTTATGACACTCCTGTTTCTATCTGTCAGCCAGGCTGTCTGATTGGGGCCGTTAACCTGGTCCTATCAGGGAATTCGGATTCTGAGGTCCACCTGACTGGTTTCAGTTCTGGTTGTGATGGCCCTTTTTGTTTCCCTCATCAGCTGTTTTAGTTTTGCTAGGACGGGATCTTGTGTCCACAGCCTGATTATTGTCAGCGATGGCTGGAAGGCTGTCCAGAATGGATTCTTCTAGCAGTAGCACCACTGGTGGTGTATCCGCCAATGGCTTAAGGCATCTGCATTTGCCACTTCATCTCCCAGATGATGTTCCAACTTGTAATTGTATGCACTCAGAATAAGAGCCCACCGCTGAATTTCACCTGAAGCTATAGGCAGCACGGCCCTGTTCTCTTTTGAGTAGCCCTAGCAAGTGTTTGTGGTCCGTTAATATTACAAATTTACATCCGTAAAGGGATTGGTGGAATTTTTTCTCACCAACAGGACTGCTAGACCTTCCTTCTCCACCTGGGCGTACATTCGTTTAGTATCAGCCAAAGTCCAGGAAGCATACGCTATCATGCGTTCATCTCTGCTGGGCCACCTGTGAGCCAACGCTTCCCCGATACCAGGGAGACCTCGCATGTCAGAACCACATCCTGCTTGGGATCATTGTATGCCAACACCTTAGATGACAATAGCTGCTTCTTCACTTCTCTCAAGGCTAGATCTCAGCTATGAGACCATTTCTAAGGCTGATCCTTTTTCAATAGCAAATGTAAAGGTGCCAATGGAGGCCGGGTTACGTATGAATTTTTTGTAATAATTCACCAATCCAAGGAAAGACCTAAGCTCTGCGCAGACGTGGGAGCCAGGGCAACTTTGATCACCCCAACTTTATCTTCCAACAGGTGTAACCCGGCCTTGTTGATTCTGTAGCCCAAGTAGGTCACTTAGGGTGCCTGGAATGCATTTTTCCATCCTAAGGCATACCTCCACCTTGGAGAAACATTTAAGCACTTATTCCCAAGTACTTTAAATGCTCTTTATTGGTCTTTGGCGACTTGGGGTAGCCCTTGTAAAATGTTCTCCATGGTCTGCTGGAGAATGGCACAGGCTGATGATACCCCAAATGGCAGGTATATTGGCATAAACCATTTGAGAGTACACAATGATATTGCTGGACTGTTAACCCAGACACCATTAATTCAAATCCCACCATGACAGCCAGTGGTATTTGAATTGAATAAAAAAAGGGTCTGGAATTAAGATTTTAATGATGACCATGAAACCATTGTCAATTGTCAGAAAAACCCATCTGGTTCCCTAACATCCTGTAGGGAGGGAAACTGCCATCCTTACCTGGTCTGGCCTACTTGAGACTCCAGACCCACAGCAATGTGGTTGACTCTCAACTGCCCCCTAGGCAATTCGGGATGGGCAATAAATGCTGGCCTGACCAGTGAGGCTGTCAACCGTGAATGAATAAAAGAAAGTTAATTGTAGCATACCTCTGGGCATCCTCATCTGATCACATGGCTCAGGACCAGCTTTGTGAAGGACAGCCCCCCCCCTAACCAGTTTTGGATATAAATCCTCTACACGAGGGGTTGGGTATTTATCCAGCCGCAAAAAGCGGTCTACCATTTGTTTAAAATCCCCACAAAGCCAAACCGACCCGTCAGGCTTCACAATCAGTACGACCAGTGCTGCCCAATGCGCAAACTGGATTGATTTGATGATTCCTTTGTTTTCCAGCCTCCTGATTTCTGCCTCTAAGGCAAATGGCATTGGGTGGGTCTTGCAGAATCATTGAATTTCTTCCTTGTCAACATGTAAGGTAGCCTTGGCTCCTTTGGCAGTTCCTAGACTTTCCTGAAAAACATCCAGGTATTTAATTAGGACTTCACTCAGGCAGCTATTTTCTAACTGAAAAATGTTGAGCCAAACTGTTTGAATTTCCCTCTATCAAGCTTGGGCCATAGCCTTTTATTACAATCAGTGGTAACTGAGCCAGCTGCTTCTGATAAGCGACCAGAACCAAAGTTGTGCCTTTAATCTGTAGGGGTTTCCCAGTATAGGTTCTCTGTCTCGCTGAGGCCTTACAAACTTTAAGGGTTAGAGTCCAGAGCAAATTTTAGCAAAGACTGGTTCTACAATCACTGATGCAACGGTATTGAGCTCCGTCAGAACTGGGTGACCATCTAACTAGATGTTTTTGGTTCTGATTTAGATGTTGACAAGCAATTTAACTGTTCCAAACCAGCTATAGGTGGACTTTCCAGGGTGTGCACTCTCCTGGATACCGGCCTATGAGTTCTCTTACTCAATTCAAGCCTAGTGGGACTCTTGCTGGCTTAAGTCTGTATACCAGCAGCAACTAGAATGGCCTGTTGGCCCGGATCCTTGAAAATTTTAATTGTTTGCCTTATTTTGGGGTTTTGCTGTGGGCTGACCTCGAGTCCCTCTTATTAGGATATGTCTTGAGTGAGACTATGCAATTACCTTCACCTTAAGTGGTGTTCCCCAAGCTCTGTTGGTCTGACGATGGTGTCCGCTTCCATCGGTATACCCTGCAACTCATATGCTCCACTCGCCGCATTTTCTAACAAAAAAGCCAGTTGTAGTCTTTGTTTGAAGTCCGGTTGGACTTCAACTTGTCGATGCTTTTGCATGGTCACGTCATTAACTCCACATACCAAATGGTCTCTCGGCATCTCACTTAGGGTTAAACCAAAATCACGTGCCTCTTCTAGTCATCTTAAACTCATCAAGAATCCTGATATGGATTCCCCTGGTTCTTCAACTGCCAAGTAAAACTGATAGCATCTTAGAATTAGAGGAGGCTTGGGGGTCATAATATTCCTTAGCTAAATCTGCCCACTCTTGAAAGGTTTTAGTATCTGGTGTCTCCGGGAAAGTTAGGATCCTAATAACTGAAAAAGCTGCGGGTCAACACACTGTTAAGAGAATAACTCATTGCTTTTCATCTGCCTCAATGTCATTTGCTTGGGGGGGAAAAAAAAACATTCTTTCCACATACCGGGCCCAGTCTTCGATGGCAGGATCAAATGAGTCAAGCTTCCCAAATAGTGGCATGATGCCAGAAATGCTTAATCCAATTCAAATATGACCATTGCGAGCGAATGTCTTTGGGGCTGTGTTTTCTCTCTGCCACTGAAATAACACCAAGAAGGCTGGTATCCTGTCACCAAGTCATCCTTTATTTACACGTGCATAGTACGTGACACTGACCCAGCTAGCTCAGAGCCAGCTCCTCGAGTGAACAAAACCCCTGATACTCCTATTTATATCTGTCACTCAACCCGGTCCAATCAGGAAATCCTAACAACCCCAGACAGGGAACACATATTCTGAAGTCCACCTGACTGACCTCGTTCCAATCACTACAGTCTAATCGCTGGAAATGTGTGTCAGTATTGTGGTTTTATATTTGATGCAATCCTTGGAATAGATACTTGGTGCCTCCCTTTGATGTGATATACAGTTCAGGTCTGCTAACATTGTGAGTTAGGACTCTTTGAAGTTGAACATCTGACAAATTTGGTTCAACCAGCCAGATGTTGAGGAAATAGTTCACAAAAAGGTCTAGTTTCCACAGCTCACCCATGTTGCTGTATGGAGGAAGTTATTCCTTCAAACAGAGGGTTCGGTAGATTGGAGAAGAAAAGTAGAGGAGAACCTTTTTTGTGTGTACCTCCTAGAAGTGAGTACTGGAATTTGGCGATACTCTGCCCTCTGAGCCGTCATTTGCAAATGGTGAAAATGGGACAAGATGATTATGATTCCAATCGAATATTGAGCTCCTAATGTGAGGAAATGTGTTCCAAATCTAGTTTTAACTGATATGTGAATAACCTTGCTTTGTAAGAGCCTGTTCTAGCTTGACTGGAGTACTCCTCTTGTGAGAAGGTATATTTGGTTGGGAAGGCTATCCTGACTAGCATAATATTCCCTGCTGCTTGGTGAAGTGGAATCAGGCAATTGTTTGCAGTCTGCAAAGTTCTATCAGTCTAACTGAAAAAGGACGTGCTGTCAAAAACGTAGAGCTTGAGAGTTCACTCCTTCCTACCGTGGCACCAAGTTATTGTCCTGGTTAAGTCATACACATTATTCTAGAATTCCAACGGCATCTTCAATGGACAACAGCCTATATTATAGTGACTGAACAATTCATGTAGGGTAATTTGTAAGTTTATTTAAACTAGGAAAGTACCCATTCTCCTCAAACTATAACACTATGAAAACATGTGTTTTAAAGTGGCTGTTGTTGCTTTATGTAATCTTGATCTCTAGGAACATTATTGGATTTTTGAGCAAGAAGAAAGAACGCAGTTTGTTGAAAAGGAAGCCAACTGGGACTTTTCTGCTTCGCTTCAGTGAGAGCTGCAAGGATGGTGGCATTACTTTCTCATGGGTGGAACATTTACCAAATGGTAAATAATAAATCGTGAAGCCATGTGGTCTGGGTCAGTAAATCGGAAGAAGGTTTCTTGTCTGCTAAGTTGGATGGGGTTGTTCTTCTGTCATTTTATTTCTGCGCTTGTTAAGTGGATTAATTTCTTGAAAAGAACTGGAAGGCCTTTTGTTTAAATTTTAAAATAAGCCACTTTGGCCTCAGACCTTACGTAGACCAATTTAATCCATTTACATTTCAACATCGAAACACAAGCCCATTCCTAGTTTCTGATTTTAAATCCCAGCATAACATTTATTTTGATAGCAGCCAAACCTTCTGGCATAAGAGGAACACGAGTAAACTCCATGCGTGGAATTCTAACACTGGATGGGGAAATAGCCCACAACACAAACATCTATTCACCCTTTTAATAAAGAGCTTTCCCATAAAAATTGATTGTTGTGGTAATGGTGCTTGGACATGTCTCAGGAATTATCCCACATTATCAGTTAACACTGCTAAAATAAGGCTGCACATTACCTTGAGTGAATTTTCAATTTCTTTTAATATCACATTCTGATGCTACATAAATGTATGAGAGTGTGTCTAGGGATCTGCACAATCTGCTTGGATTTATAGTGCTGCAGGGTTTATTGCTGCTCCTGTAAATCCCACAAGGACTTAGCATTGATTTATATTGATTTAGATTACCCTAGTTTTAATTTATGAATACTGTTCTTGTGGCTGGGGAGACTGTGTTCTTGCATCATTTGCCTAATGACACTCTGGTCACTGCTGCTCCAGCATTTCTTCTGTTTCTTCCTGAGATCCACTTTGGTGCCCTGAAGGTCTTTCTCCTCCCTCCATCCTTGCTGTAGTTAAGAGGAGGGCAAGTCACACCATATTCTATTTTTTTTTCTAGGATGGCTAAACAGTGTATACTTTTGCTGCTATAATATAATTTCAAAATGTAAGCTTGACATCAAACTATAGTCCTATTGTAAAAGCAAAATACTGTGGATGTTGGATGTCTGCAATAAAAACTGAAGATGTTAAAAAATACTTGGGTCTGGCAGCATCAGTGGAGAGACAAAACAGTGGAGTTAATGATTTGAGTCTAACCACTCCCTGGAAGTCATATTGTTTCTATTTTAAAATGAGTGTATTTGGTACAGCTATATCATCTGCAACAAGAGTGACTTCAGAGTTTACTGTAAGTAAATTGTGTAAGGATCTATATCTGGGCTCTTGATTTCCAAACCTATCTTGTTTCAGCAGGATTGTTTGTTGCAATAACTATTGTTACTTTCTGAAGTAGTTTAAAGAGATTTTTCTGACAACTTTGAAACTTTTTTTGGTTCTGCTTGATAATGGTTTGTTTTTTGCCCTTTTTTAGGGGAATTCAAAATCCGATCAGTGGAACCATACACCAAGACTCACCTGACTAACATTCCTCTTTCGGAAATCCTTCGCTTCTACAAAGTGATGGCAGATGAGAATGTCCCTGAACACCCTCTGCTGTATCTGTACCCAAATATTCCGAAGGATGAGGCATTTGGAAAATATTATTTAGACTCTGAAGCAGGTATTTCACTCCAGGGGTTAACAATAACTTGAGCGTCACATTCCAGGAGAACCGTACTCGGGGCCATTGAGAATGTCAAAATGTAAATTTTTGAACAACTGTCTTTGTTCCTTAAGACTGTTAGGAGACTTTTATCAAAAGCTCAATTGGTAAAGATTTTGAAGTTTAAGGTTTCTTTTAATCATGGTTTGACCATATTGATTTCTTTGACTTTGGACTTCAGTTGGACTCTTTCTTCAGCTACTTGGGGTCCATGATTTTTCCTGTTTAAGTGGGATCTGAACAGCATGCGAAACAGATATAGACAATATTGATCTTTTCAAAGGGTAAATCAGATTTTTACAATGGTTAGAGCAAAGATCACAAGTTGGAAATGAATTAATTTTTTGTGGGGACGGAGAAGATCTGAGCTTAAGTTTTCATGATAAATTAAATGTACTTGATCGTGTACCCTTAATTTGACAGAAATTTAACATTTTGAATAAAGAAGTCCTGTAACATTAGGACATCATCACAAGACATGAACTAAATGCCTAAAAAAGAAGCTTGACTTGGGGAATCCTTGGAATTCCCTGAGTCTGTAGGTACTGCAGAAATTAAATCATTTTCTCCACTATATCAACCTAAATTTGCTTTACTTTGTGGAATTGGGAATTGTTATAGTTCTCTTAGAAATGCCTTGTGCTTTTTCTTGCAGGTTTTCAAAACAACAAATACTTGAAAACCCGATTAATCGTGGTATCAGAAAGGTGAGCAAACCATTGTGACTATAACCCTGTCTGTGTGTACTTATGTCAAGAGGTTTGTATTTATGATTAGGAATTTTTGGGCAGTCAATATTTATAGAAGAACAGCACAGTGGGAGGGTGTTTAAGGGGCTTTGTCAGGTGGCATTGGAACTCTGAAAATGGAGCCATCATTAAATGCAAATCCTGCAGTATTGTGCACCTATGCGTGTTAGCATAGTTAAGAATTAAAAGTTGTGGTTTACCCATACATTTTGCAGTTCATGATAAGCCCCTAATTCAACTCTGATGCAGATGCTGTACATAAAATGTAAGCTTGAAGCCTGTAGAGCATGATGTTATCGCAACTGTCACTTAAATCACTGTTGTGTGATTGAAATTGGGAGCCTGCATATCTGTAGTTCCTAATTATGTGTCTCAAAAATTATCTCAACTTTCTGCATGCAAAGTGTTTTATTTTGAAGGGCAGTTGCCATTCACATACAATGCTGTCCCAGAGCCATCAAGGAGGTGACTATGTAATGTCTCTTTTTAAATGCTGTTGGTTGAGGAATAAACATTAGCCAGGATGTCAGAAAAACTTTGAATCCTTCTAAAAAATAGTAAACCCATAAGATTTTCATAATTTATCAGAACAAATCCATTTCATTCATAATGTAAAGACCATATATTTTTGATTTTTTTCTGTATTTTTGATTGTGGACTGAAATGGGAAAAGACTGGTTTTAAACCAAACAGTTGTGGAAAGGATTGCTGCATTTTTTAAAATTGAAAAGCAAGTTAGAGGACAATCATTGTAAGCACTCTTTACACTGCTGTTTGTTCAAGCAGTGGGGAAATCTAGTTGGAGATGAGCTGGAGGCATGGTATAGGTACAAATGAAGACTTGGCCAGCAACAAGTAGCTGATTGGTCTGGGGAATAGTGGCCTGTTGTTGATGACGACGACAAAGGCCTTCTACCTGCCAAAAACTGTGATTGATTGGTTCCCAGGTAGCTCAACAGCTTGTGGTTGAGAGTGTTTAGGGCTAGAAGCCATCAGACCTCTGCAAAGGAAGGAGCTGTTCTTTCTCTGCAGGAAAACCCCTCCAGCCTGATGAAAGCCAGTTTAGTTCCCTTATCAGTTTCTGTGAGCTGTGGCCCTTAGCATTAAGTCAGAGACTTTATAAGTTGTGAACCAGTTGTTTCTAAATGCCTGCAAGCCTAGGGAGAGTAGATTGACGAACAGCAAGTCCTGATAAGCCATAAAGGATCACTTCAGCGAACCCTTTGGACAGAGACCATTGAACTGCATATCCAGTCTTTCCCACTACCTGCTGCACCCGTCTTGTATGTGTATCGGGGGAGTTTCGTAGTGAAGTTACAATTTTAACCAGCAAAGGTATTTGTTAATTCATAATTGTTCATCTATTTATTTGTAATAAATCATAATTCCTGTTAAGGACAGAAATCTGGTCAATGCTTTCTGTCAACTTGGGTCTGAAAGACTGATAAATTGGGGTGTAGGTTGTGCAGTTTTGTGTACTTTTTATAAAATCTTTAAAATCTTTAACTTTTATGATGACTCTGGGAATAGTGGGGCTTGATCTTTGGCATGATACCTCTGAGGCAGTACACTGAATGTCGCTCTAACGTGTCAGCCTAGATCTTTTTGCTCAAATCCCTGATTGGGATTTAAACCCATCACTTTCTGACCGTTGGCTACAGTGCTTCTGAAGAAGAGAACGTGACCTTTCAAGTTTCCTTCTGGTGTATTAGGATGGATTTAAAACTGCTGAAATAAATTGTGAAGAAAATGTATTTTGGATTTTTGAGATTTCTCTCTTTTCTGCTGCTCTGTGTTTTCCCCTCCCCGGCTTTCAATTGCAGACCATCTTCTGATTTACCCATTGAAGGGATAATGGATGAATGTCATCTGGATGACAGCGAATTATCAGGTAACATTATTGTTTATTTGGAAAGTCTCTTTCTTGCCGAGCTGTCACCAGAACCTAAACGAGGTGTATTAACCCCATGTAATTTGTTGTTCTGTGACTGTGTGCCTCCTCCGATCCTTTATTGTTCTCTTTTTTTGTTTCTCCCCGTTTGTCAAGTTTTAGGTACTTTTCATTAGAGGAAATTGTCGTGCCCCTCTCCGTCAAGACACTTTGGGGCAGGAGAATGATTCATGTTTTCATGGGACACCATTGCCTTGTTTTAAACTAATTTTAAGATTACATTCATGCACTAGTATATGCTTCTTTTTTACACCTCAACATGACAGTATTGCAGATCAGGTATATCTGACGTGTATTTTGATAAGAAATTCTTTTGGGTTAAAGTCTAGTTGAGTCCTAATGCCACTTTCTAGCTAATCAAGGAGATTTTTTTTTATGATCTAGAATTAGGGGGAACCAGTATTGCAATGTTTGTGACATGTAGTATATATTCCTCCAGAATCTATGAAGTCGGACCATATTCCTATGAAAGCTCTACAAGGTAGATTCTCTGTCTTGTCTGTTTCTGCTGTCTTTTGTAATTTAAATGTTTAATTGGTTTCATTCCTCTCTGTATGAAGCTACCACTTGATGACTGAAAGGCTGAAATAAAAAAGCATTCCATTGTGTGGCATTATGTCCCTTTTCTTCATAAGCACAAATTTGAGGTGTTGAGGGGGATTGGAGGCAGTGGTGCAGAACAAGGCTTGGAAGAATAGTTTAAATACACTTCACTTAAATGCACCTCATTAAATGCACACATGGGTAGTAATATATAATGTATATGCTGGTTTACTGCTTTCCTCCATCTTGCCAGTCTCTTGAAATGTGACACCGCTCAGGTCTGTGCTTGTGAATACTTGAGAATGATAGCTCTATAACAATGTGACAGTAATGACACTTTCCAATCCATCATAATCTCGCTTCACTCTAATTTTCTTTTACCCCTACAGATTTAATGGAATTTCTGGGGTCAGATTCGATGACTTAGAATAAATGGTGAAATTACACATGTGAGGGATCTCCTCTTCCAACTACAAAGTAAATTGCCAATGCCATAACTTCTAGGATGTGGACTTCATTCCATCTTCATAATTCTGTACACTTCATAGGATTACCTTTTCATAGTGTTTTTAATTCTGAGATTGAGCTGTCACTGTAAACAGCTAAACTGTTATTTTGTTAAAATGCAATCTTGTGTGTACGTTTAAAAATAACAAACCAATGCTGAAGGAACATGTAACATTCTTTGAAAGAGTATCAGTGAGCCATCTCGTTTCCATTCCAATTTGTGTATGAAATTGAAGGAGAAATGTAAGTGGTGTTTTCTAGAGCGGTGTAGTCCCAATGAGTCTTGTTTTCTGCTTATTTGATCAGGAGAAAACACATATTAGTGTTGTGGTCCATTCTGTCTGTCCCCATGTTGGAGATGGTGTAGCATATAAATTCGTGTAAAACATTCTTTTGCTGAGACAGGAAGAGGCCAGGCCACCACTGTTTTCTCCTTACCCCCAAACCTATAACAACACTAACCTCACCATTGTTGCTTCTCTTACCCCGCCTATATCATTTAGTAGCCCCTGCAGGATCACAAATCATCAAATTGATGATTTACCTAATGCTTCCTTCTGCTTTGTGAAATATTCTTGTAGCTGTAGAATATGTTTGAAACTAAGAAGTTTTAGGATATAGCAGAGAAAGTAACATCCAATAAGCCAGTCCTGCTTAAAGTCTTCAATCTAAGAAAGCATCTTGAAAGTGACTTACTTTGTTTATCTTTAGTATTTAGATTTGCTTTATTTTTCATCCGTCTTGAATAGGCTTATTGTCTAACTGGGAGAAATGGATGGAACATTTCTGTCCAGGAATTTTATGCTGTTTGATATTTTGAGAGACAGACATCACAAGGGAGGACCTGGATAGACAGTTTAGCTGTACTTTGACTTTTTGCCCTCTTTGCTGTTGAGTGATGCAAGAATTAGGAAAGCAATCTTTCTTTTGTTCACCCAAATGACTGTTGTGGAGTTCTTGAATCCTGTTCTCGAAATGATCAGAATTTCACAAAAATAATCCTGACTTGACCTAAATGAGTGAGGGAGGATTATGTGCCAAATTGTTTGAAAAGAAGTTGTGGACATTATTTAAGTATATAAACCATCGTATCATAGAGCACAGAAAGATGATATTTGGCCCAATGTTCCTATGTACAGCCTTGTTCAACTTCCCTTTACACATCTGGTGTGTATGCATTTCATGTGTGAGGAACAAAATTGTCATGTGTGACAGTTGCTGGTATAGTTGAATGTAATAATTGGGATATATCGACATTGAGCCAAGTGAAATATTCGTGAAGGTGCTTTTATTAAAAATAAAACAAATTGGTTGCATGGTGAGTGTTAGGGGATCTTTCATGGAAAATCCCCTTGAGGCGCAGAAAAGGGAAATTTTTAAGTCTTGTGCAGTACAACTGTTGCACAATTTGTTTTCTGTTTATATATGGCTACCAAATAGCCATTACATCTTAACATCCGTCATTTGTGCAATTCATTCCTTTGTGCTGATCTCCTGTACCTGTGCATTTATGCTCTTGCTTGCTCTCATGTACATTCTCACTGCTGTTGAACCCCTCTTCCAAGCTTTGACAATGATCCAATTAACTTTTTACATCTATCCTGAGTATATATCTGGTATAGGATTTGCGGTTATCTTGAACAGTATTTCAAATCTATATGATAAAAAGATAACAAGATACACAAATGCCCCAGACATTTGATTTTTATGATGCTTAGACTACTGAGTAGATTCTAATTATCATCTGAACCTTAATGTGTGTTTCATTGTTAAGGTGATTTATTGACTGATTCCTGGGGTGGCAGGACTGACTTTGAAGAGAGACTGGATCAGTTAGGACTGTATTCACTGGAGTTTAGAAGAATGAGCGGGGGGAATCTCCATAGAAGCCTGTAAAATTCTAGCTGGACTAGACAAGGTAGATGCAGAAGGATATTCCCGATGTTTGGTGGTGGGGGGGGTGTGGAATCCAAAACCAGGGATCACAGTCTAATGTTATGGAGTATACCATTTAAGGACTGAGATGAATAGAAATGGCTTTACTCAGAGTTGAGGGAGGTGGGAGGGGTGAGTGGAGCCTGTGGAATTCTGCCACAAAAAGTGCTCAAGTCCAAAACATTGAATGTTCCCAAGAAGGAGTTAGATATTAATTCTTAAGGCTAAAGGGATCAACGGGTATGGGAAGAAAGCAGGAACGGGGAACTGAGTTGGATGATCTATGTCTCTGGAGCACTCGTTATCATAAGCACATTGTTTGATGGAAGTCAGAAGTTCACTTGAAATTTTGGTAGTAGTGATTTTAGTGAGAATTTCAAAGATATAAATGAAGATTATTGGACCAGAAATGAAATAGTTGTTATAATGTTTCACACCCTGCATATTTTATAGAATGCAAGTTAAGGAACTAACTCCTCTGTTCCTCAGTGTATGTTCTCCACACCAGGCTTGTCCAGCCTCCTTGCATTCCCTAAAACTAAGACTAATTTCTGGCCTTCTCTGCACCAAATTAATCCAGTGAAATATCTGATATTACCTTTACTTGCACAAGAAACCAGTGCCTACCCACTTGCTTACTGCAGCAATGCTGAATATTCTACAGATGCCTGTCTCCTACAAGTCATTTCGCTTTTGTCCATATTTGCAGATGATGGACCACGTTTTGTTTTTATTTTTATTTCCTCATTCATGGGGACAAATGTGCAAGCTTTAGGAAGGAAGAGAAAATGTCAGATATTTGGAAATTTATCTTGCTATTGATTTTCAAGCCACCATATTTGAACCAACTGAAAATTGGTCTACAAATTTATCACCTGCCTAACTCCAAATTGAACACTAATTCAAGAAGATATCTGGCATTGTCTTTGCCTGCACAAGAAGTTAATGTCTGCCCATCCACTTCATGTAGCAATATGGAGTGTTCCAGATTGTTGCCTGTCTGTCAGAAGTGATCTTGATTTTTTGATTTGATGCTTTTCATTCTTGAGAAAATCTGTTGGCAGTGAGATGTGCTGCCAACCAGTGTAATGAATTGGAGGGCGTGGTTCAATAGATTTGGGTAAGATTTTGTGGGAACATAATGACTAAAATTACCTAAAGGCACATTCTACAACAGCTTTCTCCAGGTCAGTCATTTCACAGGTTAAGCTTCATGTGGAACATGTTATGGGTTTCAGCGGCATCCATTCCAAATGGGTCTGCAAACTACTTCAGCTCATCACTCTGCTCCCTGAAATCGGCAAGTCTGTGCTGAACTTCTTCCAAGCTGCCAATAAGTGCAGCCTAATTCTCATTCACTGGTGTTGTGATTAAGGACGTTGTCTATTTATTCAATGTTTCTGAAGCAATCCTAACCTCTGAGGGAACATTTGGGCATGCTCATACAGTTTGTTGATAAACTGATCCTTCCCTTTCATTTCAAATTCAAGACTGAAAGCAACTTGGTGTCAATCAGGAATTCCGTGTCATTCAACCACTCATCGGTTGGGAAGCTCACACCTTCTGCTTTGTTTGCTATGAAGGTTTTTATCTCCTCTTACAGTGCCCAGAATCTGCACTTTGTTGAAATGTCTTGCCTCATTGTTGTGCCTCTCTTTGGACATAGGTCAAACAGTTCCTCTGTCTTCCAATGTTTTATGACTACTCAAATAAAGATTACCTCCTGAACTGCATCGAATCTGCGGTGTCTTCAGGCTCTAAATTGTTGGTTAGTGAATTTAGCGATCAGAGAACGTTGAATGTTCGATGCAAGGTTCTCTACTCTTCTAGCAATAGTTTGATGTGAAAGGCAAGTTTTCTCAGGGTGTGCCACAGATGTAAATACGTCCTGTCTATTCAAAATTCTCCCATCAGACACAGGCTTCCCAAATTATATTTTCTTAATATGCAAAGCAATAGCAACTGGCTTTTGTTTACAATTTCATTTACAGTTCTAAAGAATGATTGTTGGTCGATCAATATTGTGATTTTTTTTTTTTGTTTGCTTGCTTGATTCTCACCTGACTTTCGAGATTGTACAAAACATGCTGGCACGTCTGACAATGATACCACTTTATGTTTTACACCTTTAAAAAAAAAACTATCTCCTCCAGACACAACATGGCCCTGTTGTAGTTAAGAACAAAAAAGATATTGATCCACTGCCATCATTGTTAATTATCTTGCCAGAGACAAAGGGGGGTTAGTATCTTTGTATTCCCATGTGTTATGGGTAATAAACAGAGATAATTTCCAATCCTGTTGCAAGAATGTTGTTTAACTGAATTGCTCCTTCTGAAACCTAAGTGAATAAGCCCAAGGAGAGAAGCTGCCTGCAAGGCTGAGGAGAGGTACAATATCGGAGTTTCTCGTACTTTTTGCTGCCACCATAGCCATAAACGGCCAGCTGAGCTGCATTCTTGCTGCCTTTCTCTCCTGATGGAGTTGAACCTGTTCCCCACCCCCAAAATAGCAACCTTTCTCTGGCAGTGGCCACCCCTCTCAACTCTGCAGTCAAGTTCACCAGTGAGGCCCCTGCTTGTTCCTATTGAACTTCTCCTGGTTTCACAGAGGCATGGGGTCTCGGGTTTCTGTTTTCTCTTTTATCCCCGTCGTCACCACCACCACTGCAAAAATAAAACCCGCCTGCCCAATGCTTCTCCTGTGTCAGGAATGCAGTTTCATGGGCTGCAACTTCTCATGAGTCAGAGTTCTCCCTTTTGCTGTGCTACTCCCCTGTTTACTCACTGCACAACTCCAGTGCTATGAAAATTCAAAATGCTCATTTCTACATACAGTTTCACTGCTTTTCTGCTCATCCAGTCAGAGGCTCCGTATCATCAGCGTTTAATTTCTGATTGAGCCTATTGGCAGGGAGAAAACCAGCTCTGACTGATTGAGAAGCTTTCACATTTCTCAAAATCAATGTTGGCCAATCCCATAACAGCCTGAGGACTGCCTGTTGACCAGGGCTGCTCTACACCATGACACAGAGTCCAGATAGGACATGCACAGAATATTAGCTGGATAAAACTGGTGCTTAATCTTAAAACTTCAAGATATTAGGAGCTTGCTGTGGCACAGTGGGGAAACGGATATATAATTGCCATATCAGACAGTAGTATACTGAAATATGTTTTTGAAGTTTGGTTTACTCTGTGGTTTGTATTTTTACTCTTAGCTTTGCATTTATCTGCAATATATGTTGTACAGGTCAAAGTGACAGTACCCAAGTAAACATGGTAATTCAGGCTCATAGCAGATGTAAATTCCCATCATGGTTAATATTCTGTTAACCTTCCCTAACTAGTCTTTACATGAATCATCTGGGAAGGAATGGTGGGTGGAATAACATTCAGGACTGTTTTCCCCACCCCTCCCCCAAAATACTGGAGAATTAATTGTTAGAACTGGAGTGATTACATCTGGTATACTTTAAAACCACTACTGTGCATGCAAGTTGTTGGGGTGGTGGTCGTGGGGGCTCTTGTGGTACAGTGGTAGTGTCCAAGCAACCCAGGTTCAATTCCCTCCAGCTCCAGAGGTGTGTATTAACATCTTTTGAACAGGTTGATGTAGAAAGTATCTGTGTACAAAATGTCTTTTAACAGTTTTCAGCAACCTGGAAGAAGCCTGGCTTTCTGCAGATATCTCTCAGCACCTCTTGGCATGTATGTGCTGTTAACTGACTGACTTAAGACCAAGCTCTATCTACATTTTACTCCCACAGGAACAAAAGTAATGTCATTAACTATTTTATGCCTTTCTTTTTGTCAAGTTTGTCAGTTCAGTTTATCATTGCTTCTGTAACTTTCAGTCTTTGATCAATAAATAATGTAAAACGACTTGTATGAAAATTTTATTTCAATTAACATTATCCTCCTGGGATTCAGAAAGTAGACCATACATTATCTTATTTTAGCCTCTTTCTTGGATAACGAAATCTTAGAGTGCTCAAGTGTTTGTTTGGTACAAACTGAGGCTCACTATTTGTAACAAATGTCATTATGCCCTCTGAAAAGGCTGGTCCTAGTGATGGAAATGCATCTTGGGAAGAGAGGAATTTTTTTCTCTCAGAAGTATAAAGTTTTATCTTACTAATGCTGATTATTTAGGTGCTATCTACATGCTGTCTGAAGTACCAAGAAGTTGGAAATGCTCATTATTAAGCAATTGGTCAGGTACTTTGTTCGGGAACATGGTTTTAAGGGCTCATATCCTGAGTTAGGTTACAGGCTAATTACTGACGAGAATCTACTCTTTCATGTTTTCTATGCACCTGTTTGATCACCAAAAGGAAAGTTCTATATAAATACTCCTTGGTCCTGGAATGGCAGGTAAAGCTAACTCCAGAACATTAACCTTTTTACACTCCTCCAACATTCAACCCTGGCCTGCTGTCCTCCATAAAAATTGAGGAACTTGTTCTGTTTTCAATGGCTCATCTTTTAATGTCTCCAAGTTTGGTTCACTTGTGTCTTTTAAAATTAGCTCAATCTAAAACTCATACAAGAGTGAGATGATCACTTGTTTTGTGATTTATTAAATAGCAATATTTGCCTTACTAATTACAAATTGAATGGTTTGGAACAATTATCTTTGTACAGTAATCATTTTTATTTCTTCACAACAAAGTAAATAGCAATCTAGAACTCTGACTAATGCTCAGTTTGTTTCAGTTACAGTGACACCCCATTGACTCAAATGTGCAGACATTCTTTCAGCTGCCAGAGGGACAGTCATCATAATTCATAATATACAAGTACAACATTACTGAATTGACAACTATCATCCTACCAAAGCCTCAGTTGTCCATTTTAAATATTAACTGTCCTTGATACAGTGAGCAAATAACCCAGTTTCTTTACGTTGGCATCAATACTAAATAGTCTTTAATGGTCATGTTTGAGGGAACACAGTTCCAAGGTTGTTGTACATAATTATAGTAACTGCTGTATAGTTACATGGTAATTTCCCTTAAAACCAGAGGAGAAAAGTGAAAGTCATCACCAGGGAAGTATAATTTTTAAAAATCTTGTCTCCATCATCTACTTTTTTTTCTTGTTTCATGAATGAGATTTTTTGTCTCCATAATTTTAACTTTTCTATTTTTTTCCCCATTTTTAAAATGTGGAATTTTGGCCTGTTGTAAAACTTAGTCATGTGGATTTGTCAGCAATTGATTTAGACAAAAATAGGAGGAGTAGACTCTATGGCCCTTTTGGGCCTCTTCCACTATTCAATATGATCAAGCCAGGATTTGATTTCAATGTTACTCACCCACCTGCTCCCCATATACCTTAATTCACAGACCCCAAAAATCTGTCTATCCCTACCTTGGATATACTTAATGATGAAGCATCTGAAATCCAATAGGGCAGAGAATTCAAAAGAATCTCAACCTTTTTAAATGTAATTTCTACTCCTCTTAGTCCTAGATTGGTTGGTCCCTTATCCTGAGACCATGCCCCCACCACATCTCAGATCTCCTGACCAGTGGAAACTGTCCATTTCAGGACCTTCTTTCTTTCAATTAAATCACCTATCATCATAGGGCAACACTCTCATTCCAAGGACCAATCTAATGAACCTTCTCTCTACTACCTCCAATGTAAGTGTATCCTTCTTTAAAAGGATGAGGAGCAAAATCCTGATGAGCACTTGGCTTGAATTATCACGGTGATGATTTCTGTTAGTTAGCTACCTGACCAAAATATTGGTGATTTTATTGGTGTGAATATTGATTTTTGACTTTGCTGTAAGACATTAGGTTGTGAAACTACAACACAATTTCCAGTAGAACTATGGCAGGACAAGATACAGCTGTTTGCATTAACTAGACACCTACATCACAGGCAACACATGAGAACTAGGACTGATATTCAGACATTGGTGACAAAAGAGGTTGGTGGTCTTTCATCCTCACAGTTGCTGTCTGCTGTCTCTGGCAGAGAGTAAGACATCTGGTAGTTCCTTAGCAGCTTTGCAACATGGTGATGGTTGAAGTGAATTGCATCATCAAGCGGAGTATTGCCCCATCTGTGGGCAGAAAAAAATAATTGAAGACAAAAAAACCACACTTAGATTACAGGTTTGTTACCTAAATGGATGTTAATTTTGAAATTGGATATGGTGCAACTGTTTCTCAAGTGCAACTGTGTCACAATGATGGGAGGGATACCAGATGTCAACACTGCAGCACCATGTAACTAGAGTTTGTATCTTTGATCTTGTTCAAACTTGATCCCCATGAATGGCTTTAGTGCTTTCAGGAAAAGTTCTGCTATATTCCATTTCTAGTTCATGAGCAAAAGACTCAAATCTATACCAAGCAGAACCCAGTTGATATTACTACTGGACAAGTCAGATCCCAGAATTAGACATGAGCTGTAGATTCTCTTTTGGAAGAAAAAGAATAATAAACAAACAAAGCAATCTAAAGAACATAGGTTGAAAGATCTGAAAAATTAAAGTTTTATCCATTTCCATTTCCCCAACACCATCACTGTTTCAAATTGAGATCTTATCCTTCTATAAATCTGTGAACTGAGATCTTCTTTCTTGAATACTCAAAACGAAATGATCAGATTCAAATAGATCTGTACCTCTGGTTGTGGATGCTGCGGTTGGTTCACTCACCGAGCTGGTTCGTTAACTCACAGACGTTTCATTAGCCTGCTGGGTAACATCATCAGTGCAGCCTCCGCTGAAGCGCTGTTGTGTTTTCCCGCCTGCTATTTAAGCTCTGGGGTCTGTTGGATTTGATTACCTCCCTTCTGGTTTTCCTTTGCAGTGGTGTGTATATATAGGGTCTAGTTCTGTGTTTGTTGAAGGCCTTGTTGGTGGAGAACCAGGCCTCTAGGAATTCCCATGCATGTCTCTGTTTGGCCTGTCCTAGGATCCTGGTGTTGTCCCAAATAGAACTGGTGGTTTTCCTTATCCGTGTGAATGGAGATGAGTCAGTATTGGTCGTGTCTTTGTTGCTAGTTGGTGTTCATGTACCCTTGTGGCCAATTTTCTTCCTGTCTATCCAATGTAATGTTTGTTGCAGTCCGTGCATGGAATTTCGTATATTGTGTTGGTTCAGTCCATAGTGGGTAAGGGGTCTTTGGTTTGAGTTAGCGGTTGATGTGGGTTTGTGCGCTACTCTGATGCCCAATGGTCGTAGGAGTCTTGTGGTCAGTTCACATACGTCCTTGATGTATGATAACATGATGAGTATGACAGGGAGTGCAGTATCTTTGTTGTTTTGTGTGATGGGCATCGTCGGATCCAGTTGTTCGGGTATCCATTGTCCTTAAATACTTTGGAGGTACTCCTCGTTTTGGCGTAGTTCCAGGTTGCTACGTTGTGTTTTCACACTTTCATTTGTGGGTGCTGAGGTGGTTACTGTTGAAATTCAGTACTTGGCCACACACACACACTGATAAGGAGAACCACCAGTTCTATTTGGGACAACACCAGGATCCTAGGACAGGCCAAACAGACATGCATGGGAATTCCTAGAGACCTGGTTCTCCACCAAGAAGGCCATCAACAAACACAGAACTAGACCCTATGAATACACACACCACTGCGAAGGAAAACTGGAAGTGAGGTAATCAAATCCAACAGACCCCAGCGTTTAAATAGCAGGTGGGAAAACAACAGCACTTTAAATCAGAGGCTGCACTGATGTTACCCAGCAGGGTAACGAAACGTCTGCAGAACAACAACAAACCAGCTCAGCGAGTGAACCAACCACAGGAATGATTAGATTTTCAGTCTTTTAATAGCTTGCAGTTGAATTCTAACCAAACACTCCTGGTCAGGAGCTTCACAAGCTACAATTTTGCACGAAGATGACTGTTTTCCCTAAATTGTCTTGTGCTCCTTTTCTAGGCAAGCAATATTTGCTTCTAATCCTAGCTCAGTCTGGTCTCCTCTAAAACTGCCCTAAAGAACTTTTGATGGCTGGATTTTTCTAAGCTAAAAATCAATCCTTGATTATTCTAAACCAAAAGCAAGTTAAGCCTCTGTGTTTACTCTGCCTGTCATAAACTCCATAGTATAAACAAACACAATCTTCCATTAATGCTCCAAAGGGCTTGCAGTAATGTCTAACACAGAGTGGATGAAGTCAAGGTTCCAGAAAGAATTCTCTGGCCTTTCCTTTTAACCTCTTCACAGAAGTAACCAACACCCATATGCAATTAGTTTGAAAACCAAGCTCTAAACATGATATCTCTCATCTTTCATCACACTTGTAATTGGAAGAATACTAATGCCCATCTCCAGGTTAGATCAGTGGAAAAAAAAATTCATGTTGAACCTTAACTGAAGAGCAAGTATTATTCAAACCTCATTTATATCCTCTTCAACTTGAGATTTTTTCCACTTACCTGTCCTTGCAGAAGGGGTTTACACGACAGCCGTCAAGAAGAAAACTGACCACTTCCACATGACCTACACAAAATGTAATGAACACTTAAGTGAGTTAAAGCAATGAGTCAGGGGGAATAGATATATTTTGGGTCACGTCCTACTTCTTCACCTTCGTAAGATGGATTAGAACCTATGGCATGAATGTCTCCTCACTATAATGAATGGAGCTCAGGCAGTCTCCACCAGTTACAATGACCAATTGGTAGGGTTTTGAGGCAGAAAACAATCCCAGATTTAGCAGTTGTGCTAAATAGATCATCTTACTCGGATGCCACAGGATAACTGATATGGGGAGTAATGTTTCACTGGTTCAGTAGGCGATGCTCTTCTGTGGAAGATGGAGAAAAAAAAATTTCACAACTTGATAGCAAGCATCTTGCTTAACCTGAATACTTCATAGCACCTGCTTTCTCTTGCTTCAACCTGGTCAAAATCCTCATCCATATCAATGTTACTACTAGACCATTCTAACTGGTGCCTGGCTGACTTTCCACTTCTGCCCTACATAAAGCTTATGCTCATTGAAAACTCTGGTGCCCATTTTGTAAGTCGCTCCAAATCTTGCTCACCCATCATCCCTGTTTTTCTAACCTTCACTGGCAACTGATTCAACGATAACTTTAAAATCTTTATCTTTGTTTTCAAACTCTTCATAACCTCATCCCTTCATTACTTTGTAGCCTCCACTGGTCTCTTGCACATCGCAGTTTTAAGTATTTCCCTGGTGCCTGTGCCTTCAACTGCTTCTATTCATTCACAGGATGTGGGAGTCACTGGCTGGCCTGCATTTATTGCCCATCCCTAACTGTCTTTGAGAAGGTGGTGGTGAGCCACCTTGAACTGCTGCAGTTCCAGGATTTTGAGCCAGCGACATTGAGGGAAGGACAATACGTTTCCAAGTCAAGATGGTGAGAGGCTCAGAGGGGAACTTGCAGATGGTGGTGTCCCCATATATCTGCCGCCTTTATCCTTCTAGATGGAAGTGGTTGTGGGTTTGGAAGGTGCTGTCTAAGGAGCCTTGCTGAATTTCTGCAGTGCATCTTGGAGGATGATACACACTGCAGCTACTGAGTGTCAGTGAATAGGCTGGACATAAGCTAGGTGTTTTCACTTTCATGAACAGGGGAATGGCAGAGGGAAAACCAGCTGGGGTCGGATGGTTCTTGTGCCCCTTCAGCAGATGGCTGCAGTGTGGAATTGATAGGATTCAAGTTGGTTGCCTCCAAACACCAGAGTGTGGTAAGGCTGAGAGAAGAGGAAAAATGCAAAGTGTAGTGAAAATTGGAGGCTATGCTGCTAGTTTAGTAGTTAACAACTTCATCCATACCTTCAGCTGCAGCTATGTGTAGTGGTGTACGTGAATCATAGTCTTTCTGTTCCATATCAACGGCAGAGAGTGCAAATCTGGAAAAGTGAGAACATACCCCAGTCAGAGTACGCACTGGTCTCAAACTCCTCTGCCGCAATTTGGGTTGGTATCAAAATGATTATTTATAATGCTCTATTTGAACTGCTTGGAACATTCTGCTCCATTAAAGGCACTGATGTAATTTTTGAATTTGCAATGAAAAATAATGCAATGGAGGCTTTAAATATAACATTAACATTGTGTATTTATGGTGGGACACAGCAAATGGAAGCAGTGAGGCAGTAGTGTGCTTGCACTATTTACATCTTGCCTGTGCTGTTGACAGTAAGGCCGAGCAAAGATCAGGTATTTCCCAACAAGAGGAGAATGTGGAAACAGTCCTGTGTCTCAGATACCTTTCTTGAACCCGGATTACATTTGAACAGATTGAAATGCCAGACTGTTTGCCTTCCATCTTGTGGATTGAGGAGGGCTCATGTCTAGCAAGCCCTCAGGCCTGTAATATTACATCCCTGAGACACACAATTGGTTCATCCTCTTCCATAAAGCTTCCGCCAGCTGAGTGCACAATTCCAGATTCTCCTGTCATATTGACTGCAAATTGGATGGCCAGTGGGGTGGAGGGGCCAAAAAAAGTAAATGTAGAAGGCAAAAAGATGCCAACAAGGTGTTTTTCTGAGACAGTGGGACTGAAATTCATCATCTTCAGTGAAGGGAGAAATAGGGCAGCTAGTAGTGGATTGCCCAATCGTTATACATCCTGTCGGATTTTCCATTCTAGGCAATGAAATGGGATCTGTGGTGGTGGTCCTATCTCAGCACCTCTGCACTGATACAACTGAGTGCAGGTCAGGAACTGCCTTAACCTCTCTAGCCCATCCCTTACATGCAGCAGAGGAAGGGCAGATAAACAAGCATGAACGACCGTTAGTTACAGGAGCAGAATAGGCCATTCAGTCCACTGAGTCTGTGCCACCATTTGATCATAGTTGATGTTTCTCAACCCCATTCTCCTGGCTTCTCTACATAACCCTTGATCCCCCTTACTAATCAAGAGCCTATCTCTGTCTTAAAGTCACTCAAATGACTTGGCTTCAACAACCTCTATGGCAACGAGTCCACAGATTCACCTCCTTCTGCTCGAAGAAGTTCCTCCTCATCACAGTTCTAAAGGATTATCCCTTTACTCTGAGGCTGGGCCCCTGGGTCCTAGTCTCCGCTCATTGGAAACATCTTCTCCATGTTCTCTCTACCCAGGCCACTTTCTGCAAGTTTCAATGAGATCTTCCCATCCTCTTTCTGACCTGTGTAGACCCAGAGTCCTCAATTACTCATCATGACAAGCTCTTCATCCCCAGGATCATCTTTGTAAACCTCCTCTGGACCCCCTCCAAAGCCTGTACATCCACCCTTAGACATGGGGCCCAAAAAAATAGCTCTCGGTATTCCAAATGCACTCTGACCAGAGCCTCTCACTGCCTCAGCAGTACATCCCTGCTCTTGAATCTAGGCCTCTCCAAATGAATGCTAACATTGCAACATAACTCTTGCCAACTGAACCTGCATGTTAACCTTCTAAGAGAATCCTGAACTAGGACTCCCAAGTCCCTTTGTGCTTCAGATTTCCAAAGTCTTTCCCCATTTAGAAAATAGTCTACACCTTTATTCTTCCAAAGTGCATAACATTTTCCCACATTATAGTCCATCCAGCACTTCTTTGCCCACTCTCCTAACCTGTCCAAGTCCTTCTGTAGCCTCACCACTTCCTCAACATTACCTATCCCTCTGCCTATCTCTGTCATCTGCAAACTTAGCAACAATGCCCTTAGTTTCTTCATTCAGATCATTAAATGTATCATGTAAATAGATCTGGTTCCAACACTGACCCCTGCTGAACTCTACTAGTCCACCAACTTCCAGCCTGGAAAAGACCTCTTTATCCCCAGTCTCACCTTCTGCCAGTCAGCCAATCCTCTATTCATGCCCCTAACACCATGGGCACTTGTCTTATTTAGCAGCCTCCTTTTACAGCACCTTTTCAAAAGGCTTCTGGAAATCCAAACAGATAACATCCACTGGCTTTCCTTTATCTAATTTGCTTGTTACCTCAATTCTAACATTTGTCAGGGGTGACCTCCCCTCGAAAGAGCCATGCTGACTCTACCCTATTTTACCACGCACTTCAGAGTACTCCACAATCTCATCCCTAATAATGGACTCTAAAATCTTACCAACGACAGATGTCAGGCTAACCAGCCTTATAATTCCATGTCTTCTGCTTCCCTCCCTTCTTAAACAGGGGTGTTACATTAGCCATTTTCCAGTCCTCGGGTACCTTCCCCGACTCCAGTGATTCCTGAAAGAATCACCACCAATGCCCCCACAATCTTCTCCAGCTGGCTCCTTCAGAACTTTGGTGTGTAGTCTATCTGGTCCAGGTGATTAATGTGCCTTCAGACCTTTCAACTTTCCCAGCACCTTCTCTTTAGTGATGGCCAGTACATTCACCTCTGTCCCCGACTCTTGAAGTTCTGATATGCTACTGGTGTCTTCCGCTGTGAAGATTAGGGCAAAAGTGCCTATTCAGTTCCTCTGCCATTTCTTTGTTCCCCATTACTGCTTCTCCAGTGGTCCAGTGTCCATGCTTGCTTATTTCTTTTTAGACATCTAAAATAAAACTCTTGCAATCTTCTTTTATAGTACTAGCTAGCTTAACCTCTTTTCCATCTTCTCACACCCACTTTCTCTCCCCCACCACCCCCCGTTGCATTTTTAGTCCTTTTTCCTCATTATTAAAGGCTTCCCACTAATCTTCATCACATTGTATGCTTTTTCCTTTGCATTTATGCTGTCCCTGACTTCCTTTGTCAGCCATGGTTGCCTCATCCTCCCCTTAGTATGGTTCTTCATCCTTGAAGAATTTCTGAAGTACCTCCTGAATTACTCTCAAACTCCTGCCACTGCTGCTCCACCGTCTTCTCTGCTAGGTTCCCCTTCCAATCAGCTCTGGCCAGCTCCTCCCTCATGTCTTTGTAGTTACTTTTACTCCATTGTAATACTATTATATTTAATTCCAACTTATCCCTCTCAAACTGCAGGGTGAACTTGGTCATGTTATGGTCACTGTCCTGTAGCAGTTCCTTCACATTAAGCTCCCTAATCAAGTCTGCCTCATTACACATTACCATATCCAGAATTGCCTGTTCCCTCAGGGTCTCTACCATAAGCTGCTCCCAAAATCATCTCAGACATTCCAAAATTTCCTTTGAGATCGCTACCAACCCGAATTTCCCAGTCCATCTGCATATTTAAACCCCCCATGATTCTTGTAATAGTGTCCTTCCTACGTATCTTTTCTATCCCCGGAGTTATTTTCTGCCCAACATTCTGACTACTGCTGGGAGGCTTGTGGATAACTCCCATCAAGGTCATTTTCCTTTTGCGGTTCCACAACTCTACCCACACAGATTCTACACCTTCAGACTCTATAATCACTTCTTGCATCCAAGTAATTTCATTTCTTACTAAGAAGACACTCTTCCCCCTCTGCTAGTCTTACTTAGTTCCCAGCCTTGATCCCCTTGTAGCTACATCTGTGAAACCCACAATAGTGTACCTGCCAATTGCAATCTGTGCTACAAGCTCATTTACCTTGTTTCATACAGTGAGTGCGTTTAAGTCAACACCCTCAGTCCTGTGTTGACTGCCCCCCTTCTCATGTTTGTCCTCTTATCTGCTGTGCCTGAAATTAGGTTCCTGACCCTTTCCATACTCTGTCCTCTTACTTGTTATTAAAGTTTCCAGAACCTCTCCTGAGCCCCCATCCCCTCTAATTTTTTTCTGTAACTTTCCATGTAACTGAACCCATTCCTCCACTGTTTAGTTTAAAGCCCTATCCACAGCCCTAGTTATGAGAATCACCAAGTCCCTGGTCCCAGCATGATTCAAGTGGAGCCCATTCCCAGTGGAACAGCTCCCTCCTTCCCAGTACTGGTGCCAATGGCCCATGAATTAGAACCTATTTCTCTCACACTAATCTTGTTGGCCTTGTGCCAGTTTGCTCATGGCACAGGTAGTAATTAGGAGATTACTACCTTTTTGGTTCTGCTTTTTAATTTAGCCCATAGCTGTTCAAATTCCCTCAGCAGAACCTTTTTCCTCTTTCAACCTATATTGGTACTTACAGGGACCACAATAATGGGATCTTTCCCTTCCCACTCCAAATTCCTCTGCAGCCCAGATGAGAGATCTTGAACCTGGGCACTAGGCAGGTAACATAACCTTTGGGATTCTCGATCCTGGCCACAGAACAGTGTCTATTCCCCTGAATATGCTATCCCCAGTTACAAATACATTTCTGAAAGCAAGAAAAAAAAATGCCAGAAATCACAGCAGGTCAGGCAGCATCTGTAGATGGACAGCAAGCTCATGTTTCGAGTCCAGATGAATCTTCAGAGCTGAAGAGTCATATCAACTCAACATTAGCTTGCTCTCTCTCTCCACAGATGATGCCTGACCCATTGATTTCCAGCATTTTTTGTTTTCAGTATAGATTCTAGCATTTGCAGTAATCTGCTCCTACAACTGCATTTCTCTTTTGTACCATGGTCAGTTTGCTCATCCTCCCTACAGCCCCTATTCTTGTCCACAAAAGGGAGTAAGAATCTCAAACCTGTCATTAGACAAGCTCAAGGACTGAGGCTCCTTCAGCATTACCTCCTGGATTCCTCTATCCATTTCGCTCAATCATAATCATACCCCGCTAACCACTGACCCAGTTGGAGGTTGTTAATCTAAGGGGGTGTGACTGCCTCCTGAAACAGCGTCTAGGTAGCTCTTTGCCACACACACACCCAATGTAATGCAGTGTGATGCTCAGACTCTGAGCTAAAGTTCTACAGATGTGGTCATTATGAGCTACAATAGGGTCCACCAGCTCCCAAATTGAGCAGGTACAATACATGGCCTGGCCCTGTATGTAAAATTTTATTTACATAGTTCTTAATTTGCTTAAAAAATTCCTGCAGGTATTATAGTTTATAAATCAGTAATTATTTCTCTTATGTACCTTCAATAGGAAAGTAACCTATAATTGCTAGTCAAATTAGCAGCTATTACTTACCTCCGCAGAGCAGCTATGTCACCACTGTATGCAGCAAACAGCAAATTCACCACTGATTCCTCCTGGTAGAGTCAACAAAATAGCATTTTAAAAAAAAAAAGTTTAATTATGATAGAGTAAGTGCAGACCCCTGTACTTTCTACACCATCATGTATTCTACACACCTATTTCATCTTCTAGAAGGAAGTACTATCTAAATATTGCCTGATCTAAAAGGTAATACAGCAATATGCTCTTCATATCCACACTTAGTTCACACTGACAGTGGTGCCTGCATTTGTGGACAGATACAGCACTGCTCTCAGGTCTTACCCGAGTGTGGTGGCTGGGACACTGCTGTTTTCCATGGGCAGACATTCTTATGATATTTTTCAAGGTCATAAATTCTTGTCCACAGCACATTGCAGAATTCCACTTGCAAAGCAGAAACAGCATCAACATGGCAGCGCAGAGGGAAAGATTGTCAAAGTGAATGGCTTAGTCAAGGGCAAAGACTGCTGGCATGGACTAACAGGAAGTGGGGCATGCAAGGTGACATTGGAGGGGAGGGCAGGAAAGCATCATCATTAATTAAGACAGCAGAAGGAAGAGCAGTTCTCTATTACTGTGTAAATAACTTAATAGACATCTGAATTCCTAATGTCATTCATATTCTTGGGGCAGGAGTGGATAGGAAATAGTTTAGGATTTTCTTTTTCAATTTCTGGAAGTAATTGTGCAGCAGCTCTTCTTTGGCTGTGGGTTAGCCCTCATTAAAGTACATTAAGTGAGCCAAGGCCTGGAGTAGCTGGCACTCAGTGTATTCATCAGATTTCTTACCTTGACTTCACTTCCATTTCTCCGTGGATCTAGTTTCTTGGCAAAATGCCTCAGATTGTCATAGTTGTGAAAGTTGAACAGAGAAACCAGCTCCTGAAAGAGAAAGGACCAATCACTTCCTAGAAGGATTTGCTCAATACATTCGGGTAACACTTGGACATGTATAAAAGGGAGATAATTGTGTTGTGATTGTAACAAAGCCAACCAAGTGGACCTCATAGGAGTTCCCTGATTAGACCAAATTAACAGCCCCAATCTGTCAGCCAGGGCTCCCTGATTTAACAGCACCTTTGACATTTCTGTTTCATTCTTACAGCTGGCTCTGAGGAAGCTGGACCTGTGTCGAGGACACTCCGCATTTAAATAAAGGGTGACTTGGTGACAGGATACCAGCCTCTCTGGAGTTATTTCAGTGGCAACATGAGTGGGATTGATCGAGGGAATCATACAAACCATAACCATACAAGAGTGCCTACTAGCTGAAGCCCAACTGGACTTTACAACTGCCTTTATCATTAGAAAATGCAGCAAGTACAGCATATGAGGTGCAGGATATTCTAATGGGAGTGGACACCTTTGCCAATCCGACTGATCTTGGGCAATACCACTTGAATAAAGGTAATTGCACAGCATATGCCTCGGAAGGGGAAAAAAATGTGTGTTCCAGGCACCCCAAGAGCCCTATTTGGGTAAGAGTCAGCAAGATCAGGTTGCACGTGTCAGAAGATAAAGTGAGGGAGATCAAAGGTGACCTGGCTCCCATGCCTTTATCAGCTTAGATCTTTCCTTGGGCTTTGCATCAACTTTTAAAAAAAAAAGGGGTCAACCTTAGAAATGGTCACATAGCCAAGCCATAGCTTTTAGGGAAGTAAAAGAAGATGATAGCTGTTTCTAAGGTGTCGGCACACTATGATCCCAAACGAGATCTGGTATTGACATGTGATGCCTCCCTATGTGGCATCAGGATAATATTAGCTCATAGTTGGCCAAATGGAGAGGAATGCCCAGTGGCATACGCATCCTGGACTTTGGCTAATGCAAAGCATAAATACGCTCAGATAGTGAAGGTAGGTTTGGGAGGCCGAGTAGCAAATGCAGATGCATTGAGCCGCCTCCCACTGGCAGATACACCCCTGGGGGAGCCGATAATGATTTTTATTTATTCTATGACAAACATTCCTAACATTGTTGGATGTTCAGGGGGCACTACAAAGTTGGACTGTTACTGAATGTGAGATGTGCTGCTCTGGCTAATCCAATGAGTTGTGGAGTCTTGTTCTCCTCTGATCTCTTACCTGACAGAAGTCAATACCTCTCACACTATTTCCAACTTTGTCTAAGGAAGGAGACAAACACATGATGCCCATCACATTGGGCACCACCAGCAGAACACCACCAGAAACACCAGATTTTGCTGGAAGGCCAACCTGCACATACACAAAAATGTTATGTGACAAATACCAAAGGCAACAGACAACTGATCAGTTTCAAAAACTTTACAAAGACTGGTAAGGAGATACTGATGAGTGGATTGGGACTTGCAGAACAAAATTACTTTGGCAAAGTGAGCTAAAACCAGATCTTAAAATGTGCACGCAAGTGCTTCTGCATTGCGTGATAACTCTAGTGTGTCTATTTTTCTTTTTACTGAGACTTTACACCTTACCATGCGGTTACTGACAGAGGCCTGTACGTCACCACAAGCGCTCTCTTGCCTTTATCATTTCTCATCTTGACCCAAATGTTTCCACATCTTGGTTCCTTAGCTCACCGTCTCTATTGTGCCAGTAGAAATAATGACCTCAACCTTCCTGGGATATTCTTTTTGCTCCAGCACTGCAATGCTCTCCTGATCATTACTATCACCCTTTTGTCCATTCCTATCTTTTCAGAACAACTTGTATTCAAGAAAATTCAACACCCAGTTCTACCATTCCTTGAGCCAGGTTTCTGATATAGCCTCAACATTATGTTCCTACAGGGCGCTCTGTACCTGTGATTTGCCAATCTTATTAATTTTACTCTAGCTCATTCTTGGGATGGCTCCTGCTTTTGGAAATAAATGTGTAACTGATACAGAAAACACTTTCCAGTTGGAACTGCTAACAAACAAACAGAATTGGCTGGCTCTCCACTTACAGATCAGAAGCGCTGAAGCCTATTGTGCTTTGGCCAATAGCTCCCAACTAAGATCTCTCAATTTTCTGCATTCAGCACAGATTAAATGGGTCCTTCACCGTCTCAGATTCATAATGGGCATTGTTAAAAATTATTCTCAGCCTTCGTCAGGCCCAAAATCAGCACTGCAATGGCAGTACTCATCTTAATTCAATTGTGTCTTATTAACAGACATTCACATGCAGTTTGCACACTCCAACTGCTCAAGAACACTTGATCTCACCAATTGATATCACTATTATTTATGACAAATGTTACAAAGACAGTTCAGTTATTTCAGCAATTTAAAACGCTCATCCTTCACGTAACTACATATAAGCAAATGGCACTTAACAGCTTTGTAAGTGACTTCTTTGTTGACAATTAAAAAGATTAGAAGGATCACAGAAAGGGTTAATTTTGTTCACATGCTTGTGGCTCCTGATGGGGGTTTCAGATTCACACAGTGCAGGAAACGCCCTTCAGCCCATTGAGTCTGCACCAACGTAACTATTGCTAGGAGCGCACTAATCCCAATTTCCTGCACTTGTCCCATATCCTTGAATGTTAATATATTTGAAGTACTCATCCAATTTTTTTGTTTTAAAAAGGTTGTAAGTTTTCCAACCTCCACTATCTTCCCAGGCAATGCATTCCGGATTCCCAACATCCGCTGAGTGAAAGAGTTTTTTTTCCCCCCAAATCTCCTGCCCCTTACCATAAAACTGTGCCCTCTTGTGATTGACCCCTCAACCAAGGGAAACAGCAGCTGTATATGAACCTTGTCCATACCCTTCATAATCTTATACACCTCAATCATGTCCCCATTGGCAGGATAAATGCCAATATTATCTGAACTGGTTTGGACTGCATGGTAAATCTACATGTTTGTTGATGAGGAAAAGTGATTAAGTATTTGCCTGGTGCCTTTAATGATTTCTGTTAGGATATTGATCCAAATGTTCTTTCAATATATAGAACTGTGATTTGAAACATTGATACCAGCAATGGTGGCTGTGCAATCTCAAACTTGGTACGTTCATACCACTTGAATACCACCCCATCCACAAACTTCAACGTGCACTTACACACTACTATCAAGTATCATTGGAGGATCATCTACAAGATGCCCCGCAGTAACATGCCAAGGCTGCTCTTACAGCACCTCTACCCCATAGAAGGACAAGGGCTGCAAACATACAGGAACACTACTGCTTGCAAGTTTCCCCTGAGTCTGATGCATCATCTTGACTTGAAGTGATATTGGCAATTCCTTCACTATCGCTGGATCAAAATCCAGGAACTCCCTCCCTCAGTACTGTGGGCGTACCTGCTCCATATAGACATCAGCAGTTCATGAAGGCACCTCACAACCACCTTCTCAAAAAGCAATTGAGGATTAGCAACGGTTATCAACCGTGCCAGTCACACCCCTTTTCCGTGAATGGGAAAACAAAAAGTCCCTGCAAAAGTTGCAGTAATGAGGTGATCAATCCAAATGCCATCAAATGCATAATGGCTTCCATTAGGAGCAATCTCTGATTATCGCGTAAATGCTTACGTGAAAAGCGAATTCGCCTGAAAAATCGTACATCCCACACGAATGCATCAGGCTGAGGGTGTTCCTCACTGCCTCAGCGCTCAGGACCCGCTCTCCTGTGATTGGGCAGATTCCCCCATTGGCCAAGGTGGCAGCCATTACTCCACCTGACTCGCATGTCACCTCAATTGAACACAGCTGTAATGAGGAAAAGAAAAGGAAAACTGTTGTAGAAATAAAACAAACAAAGATCAGCAAGTTAAAAAAAAAACACTTAAGCATGATGTGGAAATCCTTTGTGGAATCCATTAATGTCAATATTTGGTTACTGCAGAAAATTAAAGCCAATGATAGCTAGTGACCTTTTTTGAAAGATGAGACAGTTACATTAACAGCAAAATACTACAGGCAATCGGAAATGTAAAAACAGAAAATGCCAGAAACACCCAGCAGGACAGGTAGCCCAGGCTAAACATACAAGGTCCAAAGGGGAATTGAAAAACAAATAAAGGGAAGCAAGACAGAGTATGAGAGACTGGCAGTTAACAAAGACACAAGGTCTTCTACAGGTATATGATTAGTAAAAGGGTGGTAAAAAGCTGAGTGGGGCTGACTGGGGTCCAAAGAGGGGATTTGGGTGTGGAGGCAGAGGGCAAATTTGAAGTATTAAGTAAATATTTTGCACTTGCCTTTATTAGGAAGAAGATGCTATGTAGGGCATAGTGAAGTAGGAGGTGATTTATACACTGGAGGCATTTAAAATTGATAAGGTGGTATTGTTTCAGCTATTTTTACTTAAAGTTGATAAGGTACTGGGACCAGCTGAGATGCATCCAAGCAAATAGAGGGGACATAGACAGGTTGGTAGAATGGACAGACAAGTGGCAGTTGAACTATAAAGAAGTGTAACGTGATTCATTTTGGTAGGAAGAACACAAAGGCAATAGAAAAATGGGTACAATTCTAAAGGGAGTGCAACATCAGTGGGAGGTAGGTGCATATGTGCATAAATCATTGAGTCACTGGCAGGACAAGTTAAGAGAGTGGCTAAGAAGGCGTACAAGATCATGGGCTTTCTAAATAGGGGTAGAGGACAGAAATAAAATTTTACATTAAACCTTTATAAACTCAACTGTATCATTGCATACAGTTCTGGGTACTGCACTTTAGGAATGATATGGAGTGCGAGAAATGGTGTGGAAAAGATTCATGAGAATGGTTCTAGAGGACATAGCTAGATTGGAGAAATTGGTACTGTTGCTCTCTTTGGAAGAGAGGATCGAGAGAAACTTTGATAGAGGTATCCGAAATCATGAGGGGCCTAACAGAATGGATAGGGAGAAACTGTTCCCGCTGGTGGCAGGTTGATAAACAAGCAGCACAGATTCAAGGTATTTCGCAGAGAAAAATAGCGCCATGAGGAACAACTCTTTCAGGCAGAGTGATCTCGAATGCGCAGCCTGAGTGTACAGTGGAGGCAGGTCAATCATGTACTCGAGGGAGTTGAATTGTTATCCGAGAAAGAAGTGGTCTAGGTTTACTGGGAGAAAGGCATATCGGTGAATTGTTTGTTCAGAGAACCAGCACATACACAACAGGGCCGAACGGCCTCCTGTGTAACATCATTCGATGAGGAGAGAGAAACGGATGCAACTGGACGGGCTGAAGCTACTTGTCACCGTGACAACATAGGTCTCCATTGTGGTGCACCCTCCCTCCCACGTGACTGCTTCCCGCTCTTGACACGTGCCCGGCCCTGCGCGAGGGAAACGGGTCGCTTAAGATCAAGGAATGGACGTTCAAAAGGGAAATTAAAAAAAAAATTACCAACATCAACCAATTCTTGAGGTGCGTAAAGCCGCTAATATGTTGCCCCCAACAGAGACAACAAGTAGGAAATCTGGGCTTGTACACAAACCCATTGTTTTGGGCAAGAGACATGTTAGGAATCAATGTGGAGTCACCAGGAGACCAGAACAGCTCTCAAAAGTAAGCTAGAACTCAGGACCATTGGAATTTGGCAAAAAAAAGAGAATATGCTGCAAGAAAGAGAGAAACAAAAGTATGAACTAATGGAGAGAAAGATTTCAATAGAGATTATTGGATATTTAAAATCGTTTTAAGGCTCATGTCAAATTAATGAGATACCTCTTCCACTCGAAGCCGTTTGTTTAATCCATGTAATTTAGCGATTAAGGTTGTACTGAGGTAGAAAGTTATTCTGTGTTGGTGTTAGGATTATGATTTAGAAGGAAAATAAAACGAAAACATCGGTTAACAATGTTGGTTGGAGGCAAACACTAAATAGGCACCGATCCAATTGGTATGCCAGTTACAAACAATTGAGTATTTATGAAGTGTAATCACTATTGTAGTGTTAGATTACAACAATTCCAATGAGGGCTGGGCACCTCTCCAGCTGTTTTTTTTTCAACGCCAACATCAACAGAGGGTGTTCTAATTACCTGGAAGTAGAAATCTAGTGTAGCGATCATATCAACACCCTCTGGAAAGCACTGGAGGAGGAAAAATAAGCACGGGTTATTATATTAAATATACTTCCCCGAGCTTCTTTCTCTTTACGTTCACGTCAACAGCCAAAGCTGCAACACTAAGATTTCGGTCAAAGACCAGTTCAGTTTCCTGCCTTACTGAATGCTCACAAGCAGCATAACATTTTTAATCAAATTGTTCAGACGTGTTATGACACACCTCCAGAACAGGCGGGACTTTAACTCATGCCTGCTGGTCCACAGATGGGGCCCGTGCAACATGATCAAAATGGGCTCAATTGATTTCAGCTGATTGAATGAGTGTGCCAGATGGTCTACTAAGGAGTAACTCTGACACGTTTTTTTTTTTAAAAAAGAGATTTGAGATCAGCCAGCCTTTAGCCCAACAGAAAAATGTTTAAATGGGTACTTTTACATTGGGTTTCTGCAGTAAGGAAGCATCAGTCAAGAGACTGCTGTTGTGAAGCTAGCCTCATTGCAGATGGAAGAGTGAAAGGTCAAGGGTTCAGATTCCTAGCAAATATTGGTTAATGGACATTATTCTACCTATATACATTTTAACATGCTGTCACCCAAACCTCTAATCTTTACAACAGCAAACGCTTTAGAACTCGATCAGCATTACATATGTTTAACTCTACTGTCTACCTTTTGACCCACCTTCTTCTCTTTCAAGTAGTATCCAATGGCAAAATTTCTGTCTCCTGTTTCTTTTTCTGACTGAAACCTTATTATGAAAGAAAAAAAAAATACAACATTAATGACTTGTGGTGAACCCCAATACCAGAACTTAGCCAGCTTCATGGAAAGAAAGAAAGGTGTTGACTAGAAATAAGAATTTTCAGCAATAGGAAAATACTTTTGACTTTTTTTTGTAAATCAATTATTGTCTATTCAACTGTTTAGAAATTCCCAGACAGGAGGAGGAGACTGGCAAATCCCCCACCTCCAGATTGTTGGGGCCATTGTTTCTTGTTCCTATTGATACTGCTTACGTCACTCTTCTGTTACCTCTTTGGGTGAAAATATCATCCCTGACTTCCTTTCTGTATAACTTCTGTCCTCAAAGATTGAGTCCCTTTCACAGGAAATAATTTGGCTAGGTAATGTTTGTCAGCCCCTTTTGTGACCAGGAAAAATGTAATTGATCATCTCAAAGTCATCTCTTCTAAAGAAATAACTTCATTAATCTTCTTTCATAGCTTAAATTCCAAATACTTGGTATAATGTTTAATGTCCCATGTTCCCTTTGAACCCCAATAAAGATCATTGAATCCCCCCAGAGCAGATGGAGTCCTTTCGGTTAAGTGAGTCTGCACCGACCCTCCAAACAGCATCCCACCCTATTTCCATAACCGCGCATTTACCATGACCAGTTCACCTAATCTGCACATCTTTGGACTGCTAGAGGAAACCTATGCAGATACGGGGAGAACATGCAAACTCCACACAGTCACTCAAGGCTGGAACTGAGATGCAACAGTGCTAACCACTGTGCTACCCAAGATCATGATTCTTACATCAAAATTCAAAGCTGAATGAATAAACAAGCTCATTGCCTGATCCTCCAATGGTTCAAAGAGAATGATTATTATTCTTTATTTTCTGCTCTAATCAACCTGTTCAGAGTTGCTATCACACCTCTGGAATCAGTAGGACTTGAACCAAAGCCTCCCAGCCCAGAAATAGAGCACTACCACTGCACCATACGAGTCCTATCAATCAACTTGCTGAAACATATTAGGATGTATCTCTAGGACAGATGGGACTTGAACCTGAATGTCCTGGATCAGGGTAGAGACCCTACCACTGCACCACAAGACCCTATGCCTCTTTATTGTCTGGAACCATTAAAGAAACCAGGAAAGCCTCTGTCCATCTCCATGGAGGGAGTTGATGCTATTCTCAAGGCTCAAAATAATACATTAGGAATGGACAATATGGTGGAACACGGCACAAGTCTATAAAACTGCATCTCTGGGAGCAAACAAAATCTCAGAAGAAGAAAAAAAAAAGTAGCATTTACATTGCACCTTTCACATCCTTAGGATATTCCCAAAGAACCTTACGGACCATGAGCTACTTGTTTGATAAACACAATCACTACTGTTCTGGAAAACATGCAGCTAATTTGCTCATAATGAACAAATAATCCATTTCTTTGATCTTGCTCAAGGAAGAAATTTTGCCAGGACACCAAGGAAAAATTGCTGCATTTCACATGGTGCCTCAAGAACTTGTACATTCACATGAAGCAATGTGTGGGAGTTTTGGTTTAATGCCTAATCCAAAAGACAAAACTTCTGGTGTTGCAGCTCATCCTCAGTACTGTACTAGAATTCTCAGTTAGATTATGTAATGAATCCTAGAGTGGATCATGAACCCATAACATTCTTTCTTGAAAACAAAAAGGCACAGATGAGCAAAGCTGAAAGGTCAGTAGTGGGCTCACTAGTGAAGTATCCTCAAGGTTTAACAGCAAACTACAAGTGATCATTGGAGACATGAAACTTGACAGATATAGGAAAGTAGTTTGGCACTTACGTAGCATTACTGAAGCCCACATATTCATTACCAGCCATCTTGTTCAG